CCCTTTTAGGTCAATTAGGCCTACACTTTCAGTCATTCTAGCCCTTATTACTGAATGAAAGACACCACTTATTTTTAAGTATTTAGAAGCAACCTACACTTAAGAAGTAATTGATAATTGAGTATCTTTGCTATTTTCTGGGAAAATGTAAGACAGAAAAAGCAACAGCAAGTAGGAATCAAATAGGACATGTCTCCTCATATGGTTTTATGGCTCTAAAAAAAAAACAAACAAACAACAAAAAAAAACCTGTTGTCGTCAAGTTGATTCTGACTCAGAGCGACCCTATAGGACAGAGTAGAACAGCCCCGTAGGGTTTCCAAGGAGCGGCTGGTGGATTTGAACTGCCGACCTTTTGATTAGTAGCCAAGCTCTTAAACACTGTGCTACCATGGCCCTAAAGAGATCTTCTTAACAACCCTTTGGAATACCTGTCAGACTTTGTGTTAAAAAATTGTTTAATTAACGATTTACACTTGTCGATATTTGACGTAATAACATATCTCCAAAGCCACAAACCATGGTTCTCAAACACTATTACAGAAGCTGGTGTGCCTTTAGTGAACCACTGCGTTCGAGTGCTGAAAGCTTTCTCAATTCACAGCGAATGGAAGTTAATGAATGGAATGCTTGGTTTTAAATTTTTCTCCCACAAAGCCTTCTGAAATTTTTGGCTTTGCTAGACCTATCTAGTAAAAGATGTCAGAAGTCAGTGAAAGATGTCATTTCGTGTAACCTAGAGTTTTCTATTTAGTTTTTTAAGTACCTCCAGTATTTTAAGTAGCTTCCAGGTTCTCTACCACCTTAAAAAAAAAAAAACTTTAAGAATCGTTGTTGCTCCTGCTCCACAAGTATTTTTCACAAATTCGCTAAAGATTTTTGACATCTCGCCCCCTTGGAAGTTTTCCACAGGAAACAATGCCACTGTGATTTTGGGTAACATCATACCACTTCCTAACATTATCACAACTATCTTTTGTCTTTTTCCTATTTTTTCTATATTTCTCTTCCTATGTTTTATAATCTCGCCATTAGTTGAATATCTGCTATGTGTCAACCACTATGCTAATCCTCACATTTACTTTGCAGATAATGTCACAAAGCCTCAAATATGTCAATTAACTCATTCAGGGTCACGTAAGAAATAATGGCAGAGGTTTAAATCGGCCTCGTTTCAAAGACCGTAACCTATCCACCGTGCTATATCCCTCCTCTCCCCTTCTCTCTTAACCACATACCCCCTTTGCCATCCCAGTTCATGCACTCTTTTCCCCTTCTTTTCTGCCCGTACTGTAGGCTTGTCAGTGGTACACATTGACATTCTACCAACAACACCAAAACCTAGAAAAGATTGCCTAACTCTGCAGAGAGAGGCAGGTTGGTTCAGTGGTAGAATGTCCTCCTTCCATGCAGGAGATCCGAGTTTGATTCCTGGCTAGTGTACCTCATATACAACCACCACCCATCTGTAGGTGAAAACTTGCATGCTGATCTGATGCTGAACAGGTTTCAGTGGAGCTTCCAGACTAAGACTAGGAAGAAAGGCCTGGTGATCTACTTCTGAAAATCAGCCAGTGAAAACCCAATGGATCACAGTGGTTCAATCCACAGCCAATCATGGGGTTGGCACAGGACCAGGTAGTGTTCTCTTCCATTGTGCATGGGGTTGCCGTAAGTCAGGGGCCAACTCTACAGCAGCTGATAACAAACTCTGTATAAGCTATAAACCATTTCCTTCTTTTTCTTATTGTCATTTTTTTCTTTTCTTAGCTTTGCCTTTCTTTTCAAGTTTCTTTTTGCATGCTAGTGAATACATGTTTGACTTATTCAATCATTTGCTCCTGAGTCTATGTATTTCTGTCCTTTGTTAAGTTGGATGGAACATTATTGTCTTTGAACCTCCAGAACCTCCAGAGGAATTGTATCAAAGGGTCAGTCAACACGTGTTTACTGAATGTGAGCTGTTAGGCCAGGTGTTTGAGACAGAACACAAAGGTGGGATGGAGAGCTGAACTACAGCTTTAATTATTAGTTACTTTACCAGTTATTTTAATTAATTTGGAAATTTTATCATCAAATTCATTTAATACGTCAGCAGTTCTCAACTTGGACCATGCTTCCCCCTACCCCAACAAGGGACATTTGGCAATGACTGTAGATAATTTTGGTTACTATAATTGGGAAAGGTACCACTGGTATCTACTGGGTAGAGGCAAAGGATGCTGGTAAACATTTTACAGTGCCCAGGACAGCCCCCACAACAAAGAATTATCTGGACCAAAATGTCAGTTAGTGCTGAATTTGAGAAACCTTGCAATATATTACATTACCTAATTTAAGGTTGATTAATTCCCTAGTAATGAGTAGAAATAGTTTTCTTAAGGTAAGCTACCTTATGATAATACAGTAACTTGAAATTGAGCTATCATTTTCCATCCAGTAATCTTAATTTTTTTTTCTAATCGAGGATATAAAATTTCAAATGCTTAAATGGAATTTTAGTATCTAAAGAAAATTTCCTAGTAAAATTTTCATTTAAAAACATAACAGCATTTAATAGATTGCCAATTAATGTCTATTTTTAAAAGAGAACATTTGCATGGCTAATACAATGTCCTTGGATTTGAAAAGCATTGTGTCATTTGTCCCCTACATAGTCCCTTCTTGACGGCCTAGTTTAGTCTAACACTATATGTAGATTTTAGACCCTCTCCAGATATCTTATGAGGTACTGTTGGAGGCCTAAAGGGTGTTTTGCAGCATTGATTAAAACTATGCCTTAGACATCCCACTAGTATAGCAGATGACACTGAAAATATAAACAAAATACTTTGTTATCTGCTTCCTGGTCACAGGGTTTGAACTCCTAAACTCCTCTCTTCCATAAAATGGAACTTGAACAAATGGAATGGGTTGGAAGAATGTCTTGGCAATGTGCAGGCACTGTGCTAGGTAGCCCAAGGGGTAAAGAGATGCCCAAGACACGACCACTGCCCGAAGGTCTAACCCAAGGTCTGAACAGGGCTTTGAACTGGTTTGCTCTGGTTTGAACCCCTGCTGAGAATTTGCATTTCTAACAAGTTCCCAGGAAACTATACATAAGAATCACCCAGGGATCTTGTTAACAAGTAGATTCTGATTCAGTATGTCTGGGGTGGAAATGCAAATTCTCAGCAGGAAACATGTTAGAAATGCAGGTTCTCAGCAGGGGTTCCAACAGAAATGAACTGGTTGGAAGCCCAGTGTGTGAAAGGCCATGGAAGAGAGCCTCTCCATGGAGTCCAAGTCACTGGGCATGAGCTGCAGGGCATGCGTTCCATGCCTGTGGCTGAGCAATCCTCTTTTAGGGTTTCATCAAGAGTAAAGGCGGGACATGTAACAATATCAGGATACCTTCCTCACCAATCCCCTGCCCTTCGTACATCTTTAGTGTTGAACAGTGAAAATTGATGTTCATAGTAAGAATCCTGAAATTACTTTCTTAATCATCCAGAAAAGAATAAATTCTGGCTTGAGGCTCCACTTACTTGTTTATATTCCAAAGTTTATCATAAAAGTGACTTCCTGCATATAGACATGAATTATCCTCAGACATCTGAGTCCCTGGGTGGCACAAACAGTTTGTGCTGGACTACTAACCTAAAGGTTAGAGGTTGGAACCCAGCCAGCAGCACCTCAGAAGAAAGACCTGGCGATCTGCTTCCAAAAAGGTTAGAGCCAAGAAAACCCTATGGAGCGGTTCTACTCTGTAACACATGGAGTCACCATGAGTCAGGATCGACTCGACAGCAACAGGTTTTTTTGTTGTTGTTTTCTATCTGAACCACCCAAGGCTGTGCTCAAGAGTCCATGTTTTCTGTTCCAGGACATGGGAAGAAGGCAAGGTGCTCATCTTTGACGATTCCTTTGAGCACGAGGTGTGGCAGGATGCCTCGTCTTTCCGGCTGATCTTCATCGTGGATGTGTGGCACCCAGAGCTGACACCACAGCAGAGGCACAGCCTTCCTGCAATTTAGCCTGTGTTGCAGGCCCAGGACTCGCTGAAGAAAGGCTGGCTTTCTGGTTTTGTTTCCTTGGGTTCAGGGAGAGAAGTTCAAACACCAAGGCTTTCAATTCCCTTCACTTGCAGCCTGAAAAATACCAAGCCTCTTCCTAGAGTTAGAAGACACTAAAAGGAATCATTGCCTAGCTCCAGTTCATATAGGAAGTGCCCTGCTGTATTTCATCCCCTGACAGCACTGGTGTCATGCTCATATTTAAGGTGAATATATGATAGCGTCCACCTTGCCAGCCAAAGATATTTTGTTCATTTAGAAGAGGTCTGAATTGGTGTACCATGAGGATATATGTAGAAACTGTGAATGGAGAGCTGTAGTTTGTCGTTTTTCTATGCAATTATATTTTTGCAGGGTAGCTAGACTATTTTGTCATCATGCACCACTACTTTTTTATTGTTGATTTTAACGGCAAGCTGTGGACAGGTGTTACTTCTAGCTGTTTAATGGTAGCTTCCCTAGTGAATGTAGACTTTTCTCTTTTAATTCTTCTCAGTAAAAGACATTCACATGAAAGAAGCAGTTTTAATTTCCTGACATGAAGGGCAAAGATGTCATTATGCGAATGTCTATGAACTGTACTGATCTCTACCCATTGAGTCTGTTTTGCTTTGTTGTCTTCATTGAGAGTGTCTTAATTAATTTCTCCCCTCACTGTGCTAATGACAGAGTGTCAAAAGCTCTAAGAGGAATTTTTATACCAAAAAATGACATGAAATCATTTTATATTTAACTAGAAAAATGCCACGTGAATTTTTTTTTTTTTTAATGCCACGTATTAAGGCTAGGGGGAAAAAGAACAAAATTTCTCAAAGTGAAAATTTCCTCTGAGAATCAGGTAGATAGGAGGCTGCTAGGGGCGCCCGGCTCCTGGCTTCTTTGCCCATCGACAGAGTGTCACTACCTACCATCAATGCATGTGGGTGACAAAAAAATGTCCCTTGGTCCTTCAGAGCATCCTCGTCACAATTCTGTAGTATTAAGGATAGCGAGTAGAAGGGGAAGAAGAGTGTAGGATCTCTGTCTTGTGTGTAGGATGTAGATAGAGATCGCTTTCCTCTTTGGAAGAGTTTGAAAGACTTTTCTATCTCCCTGGCTTGAGAAACTTCTGCCATTTAAACATTAAGTGACACTTTGAAATAGCAATTATTAGCCATAGTTTAGTTTTAATATTACCCACAACATAGCAATAACAGTTGAAAAACCATCTTGCCTATTCATTCCAAAGATGATCAGGTCATTAATTTAGTAAAGTGTAATGCATTAACTTTTGTATTTTTTAAATGAAAGCTAACTAGAAATGTTAGCTCTAAGATGTGATGATATTCATGCACTGAACTCTAAGCCACCATGAACAAAAATGCTGAAGACATGACACATAGATGACCAAATGTCGTTCAGAAGTAGAGAACACATTTGTGGTTTCTTCTCCATCCAAGGACAAAGGGGAGGCTTTCTTTCTCTCATTAAAAAAAAAAACTAAGATTGAAATTGACCATTTTTGCTTGACCTTAAGGACATTAGCTTCCAGTAGAAGAGTTTGTAAAATATTTGTCCTGTTCCCTTCTGTTTTCCAATGTTCCAAAAAAAATCCCACTAAAATAGATGAAGAGGTGTGGGAAGAAAAATATCAAAATGACTCACCAAAGTCCAGAAGAAAAAGCAAACTCTTGAAAAAATAAAAAGGTATTTGTGTCCTTGAGTATTTATTGAACAGAGGAAATGACTGGACAAAGGACAATACAATCCAATGCTCCTGTTTTAACATTCATGTCAGTTACTGAATTTGGTTCTTGTATGTATCTTGCATACACAGAAAGAAAATTCAAACCATAGATTTTCATTGTTGAGCCATCGTCTTACATTCGTTTATGGAAATTATGGAATAGAGTAAAAACTAGCTCTTATTAACTTAGTAAATATAATATGGCATTTAAAATTGGGTCACTACAGTAGGATTCTAAATACTGCCAGTTGAAAAGCCAGAATTATTATCACTGTTGCACGGTGTTGACAATAATTAACTCCAATAATATCTTAAATACTTGGATCCCACAACTGTTTTATAGAACCAAGCAATAAAGTGGATTTTCTAATTCACTTTAATTCGTCATCTTTCTTCCCTAAGTCATGGTATGTAAGAAAAGTATTTTAGTCATTGCATTGGTAGAATTACTTCAGTATTATTTTGTGATTTGAAATGTCTACACAAGATGAATTAGTTTCATTTATACTGTGATACAGTTGGTCAAGAAGTATTTTTAATTTCACTTCAATTGCATTTCTTCAAGGGTGTATTGCCTATTGGAATATAAAAATTACTGCTGTTATTATTCTGTAGCAGTAGGAAAAAAAATTAAAACATTAGCTCTACTGAGAAAGAGATTAAATAAATGGCTAAGATTAGTAATAATACTTACTGGGGGTGGCTATGACCAGAAGAATCACCTCTTTCTTTGAATCGTTCAGTTAACAGCTTAACTCTCCCAAATGCTTAAAATTTAAAAATCATATTTTACTGCCCGTTATCAACTAAAATACTTTTGACATTGAGCACCAACTTGTCATACTAATAAATGTCCATGTCATGCAGATGGCTGGGAGAATAAGAGATATGCAAAAATGTACAACTGGTTTTAGGAAACATGAAACAAGTAAGGATATCATATCCTATGATGTCTGTTTATTTTCAATCTAATTCCCTTTGAACGGGTAGTTGGGGACTCCATTTCTAAGAAGAATAGATAAAGAAATAAAATGATCTTTGGCATTTCATCCTGTGTTCCTAGTCTTCTCTTATTCTTGGCACTTGTGTATGTAGCCATTCCTTCAAAAGTAAGAGTCTTCCTCCATGATTGAATATCTACCCTCTCAGCAACAGCCAGGCCCTTTCTGCACTCATTTAACTGGTTGAAAGAGGGTTGGGGGTTAAATGGTTTGGTAGCTCTTTTCTTTGCTGTAGTGACCCAAGTGATACAAGTTGAATGGATTCATTCATCACTGACATATGTTTTCAATGAGATTCTCCTCTCCGCAGACACACACTGGACTAATGGGTTCTGGGGCTGCCTATGGGAAAGCACATTGTTAAGATGAAATAATCTTATTTCAAATTGTGTGTGTGTCTTCTTTTAAAGTCAGCTCATTATAGTCATCTAGTGGCTTAGTAAATGACATAACATCAAAATCATTTTTGCAGGATTCAGACTCTGCAAACAGCCAGAGCTATGAGAACATGCTCATAGACTGGACAATTTGATGCTGGTGATGAGGTCAAAGAAAAAGATTCAGTAAGAATGGAAATTACTTTTGCACTACATTAAACTTGACAGTTGTGTCTGCACAGTTTAACTCGGATGTATTTACTTGAAAATGCACTTAATTTGCAAAAACTGGAGAAGGTCCCTGTGCAATGCCTCAGAAAAATATTTGTCCTAAAGCAGAATGTGCATCAAATTTAGTTTTTCTTTTTTCAATTCATTTAATACCATAAATAAGGAAGGAGGGGACTCTTGTTTACATGAATGCCTTGCTTCATCTTCCAATCCCCTCACTGAAAAAGAGCATCCCTCAAGTCTTTGCTCAATGTTGGCTGCTCAGACCGATGGCTGGTAACGTTCATTACTGGATGGCAGAGTAGAAGGTGTGGGTCAAGCCAGATGCACGTGTCTGTGAGGGTCAGTTGCACATGTGCTTCCTGGGTGGCTGGAACCACTGAAGGCTGGCGATGTGCAGAGCATCTAGGTGACTGGGGTTCAGTCCAGAGCCAGGAGTGGCTGGGTGTTCTCACTTTCTCCTTTCTCCTCATGTTTCAGGGTCCCAGCTTCTACCACAGACTGAGATCTAGTAAGATGGGAGGAAAAAGACACCATTACAAATAATTCATGGTGGCAACCATTTGGGAAACGGGGGTGTACTGGGCTGAAAAGTGTCCCTCAAAAATTTATATCCATCCATGTGATGGACTGAACTATAACTCCCCAAAAGATACGTTGAAATACGAACCTGTACCTATAAATATGGCCCTATTTGGAAACAGACGTTTCTGTTTGTTAATGAGGCCATACTGGAGTAAGGTGGGTGGTGGGTCCTAAACCTAATCCCTTCTGAGTGGTGTCTTATAAAAAGAGCAGAATAAACAGAAGGTAGATGCCAAGGCCAAGGAACCCCTGGGACTACCTAGAGCTGATATCCTGATTTAGACTTCTAGCCTCCCAAACTGTGAGACGATAAATTCCTCTTCTTTAAAGCCACCCACTTGTGGTATTTTTGTTAGAGCAGCACTAGGTAACTAAGACAACCCAGAACCTGTGAATGTGACCTTGGAAACCCTGTGGGGCAGTTCTGCTCTGTTCTATTGGGTCACTGTGAGTCGGAATCGACTTGATGGCAATGGGTTTTTCTTTGGTTTATTAGCCTTAATGGCAAAAATAAATTCCTTTGCCAGTACAAAGAATATCAGTATATTGGCTTTTCAGGCAGGAGAAAGAGAGAGTCCTAAGACTATCTGTCAATGTGTGGAGCACTCTGTTCTCACCAGCGCAACAGCAGTAGTGATCTTTAGTTTCCCTGGGTTTATAATATGGATGGGGCCCCGGTGGCCCAGTGGTTAAGGGCTTAGGCTGCTAACCTAAAGGTCAACAGTTTGAATCCACCAGCCGCTCCTTGGAAACCTTATGGGGCAGTTCTACTCTGTCCTATAGGGTCACTGTGAGTCGGAATTGACTCGAGGGCAACAGCTTTGGGTTTGGTTTGGTTATAATATGGATTAAAACTTAATATGGATTAAAACTTGAATTATTATTCCATTTATAGGAAAGGTTATAAGAGCTTTGCACACAATAGGCATTCAATAAATGTTTGCATACTAAAAATAATTATTTAAACAGTAAGAAAATGGTGGCGTTAGATTGTGCAAATAAGCACAATTTACAAATATAATAACACTAATACTAGTTATATTGCACCTAGTATTGTTCTAAGTGCATTACGGGTATTAACTTATTTCATCCTCACAACAAGTCTAAGGGGTGGTGCTATTAATAAAGAAACCAAGAAGCAAACCAGTACAATTGTCTCAGAACAATTAGTTTATATTCTAAATATGAATCCATTCAAACAATCCATGCATCCTGCCCAACTTAAGGGGCCAAGCCTAACCTTTGAAAGTGAAATGGATTTATTTACTGCTGGGACAGGGTAGAGTCACCCCCAGGTAGTGTTTTCGCCTCAGCATTTTTACATACTTCCTACGCTATTCCCTCTTTGTTTCTGTTGAGGGCTTGGTGTATGTGTTTATTGGGTGGGAGGGGGGACTTATATAAAGGAACTCAAAAACTAGGATTCCAAAGGCATTGAAACAAACATTGTTAGCTACCATCTGGTAGGCTGCCGTCTTATGGTGACCCCAAACATTACCTGGTCCTGCTCCATCCCCGTGATCAGTTGCTGATCGGACTGTTGGATCAAGAGGGTTTTCACTGGCTGATTTTCAAAAACAGATCATCAGGCCGTTCTTCCCAGTCTATCTTAGTCTGAAGGCTCCACTGAAACCTGTTAAGCATCATAGCAACATACAAGCCTCCACTGACAGATGGGTGGTGGCTGCGCATTAGGTGCTTTGGCCAGGAATCGAATCTGGTTCCTCTCATGTAGAAGGCAGAATTCTACCACTGAACCACCGATGCCTCAAAGCAGACATTAGCAAGCATGAATAAAAGCAGAGGAGCACAACTGCCCACACAGGCCACCCCCTCCAGCCCCTTGTACAGCCTGCCTCAGTGCTTTGCCCTACAGATCCTTATCAAAATGGAGGCTATTGATGGCCATCCCACTTTAAAAACATCAAACTGCATTTGCCAAGAAAACCCTATGGAGCAGTTCTAGTCTGTAACACGTGGGGTCACCATGAGTTGGCATCAACCTGATGGCAATGGGTTTTCATGGAAGTTGACTGTGTTTTACAACATGGCAAGTGAATCTCAGCTACAGAGTTAGAAGGAAACTTAGCAACTCCTCTAGATTAACTTAATAGGAAATCTCCAATGAGGGACAACTCTGCTAGAAAGTTCTTCCTTAAGCTGAACTCAAATCTGTCTTTCAGAAACTTCCACACACTGCTTCTGGTTCTGCCTGCTGGAGCCACTAGAGTATGTACAATCCATCTTTTACATAATATACCAGCCCTTTAAGTATTCAGTTCTAGCTGGTTCCCTCCAGCCGTCCTCCACCCCGGAAGGCTAACCAGATTCCTCTTGTGTCAAGGTCTCTAAAACAGACTACCTGGCAGGCACCTGAATCTGTTTATCAGCTGACTTACCTACAATTGAACAAAATACTCCTTGTGTCACCTTAGAATAGAGTGAAATTATTGCTTCCTTTTTTTTTTCTGTACGCTTTTGTTCAGGTCAACTAAAGTTGCACTAGCCTTTCTGGCACTCACGTAACACCACCCAAGAAAAATGTGGTTGTGTTTACACATGCTGCTGTTAAGCCATTTCTCTCCCATCTTGAATGTGTGTGGTTGAGTATTAAATTCCATATGATTGGATTTGCCTTGTATTTCCATCCTATCTGCATCCTCTCAAATCCTGACATTTGTTATCCCTCCAAATTATTATCTGTGATTTTAATGAGTATTGGATGTGTCTCCAAACGTTCCCTGCCTTTATGGGAAAAAAAAAAAATCAACAAATAATTAACTAATGAGTTTTCAAATGAAAAGCATTTATTCACACTCATGCTAAGAAGTGTTTGTGAATTTCTCTGGCTCTATGCCAGGGACTGAGAAATCTTCATTCTTTTGTGACAACATTGTATCAGTTACCCAGCCATAGACCCAGAAACAGCCACACAAGATGCTATGACAGGTATCCCATTACCCAGGAGGAGAGACAGTTTGGGGGAGGGGAGGTGCTAGCTCTTAAAGGAAGGAAAAATGTACCTTTCACACTTTCATCATTCATAGTCCTTGTTCAGGTGACTGACTTTCACTCTCTCCTCCACACGGGGTCAAATTTGGGATTTGTGTTATTTCTTTCAATGCATGTACAGAGAGCAGAAATCCAGAATCCAGGCTGTCTTATCTCAGTCAATAAACTGTATGTCTTGGGTGAATGGCAGGTAACAATAGGACAATTCTGAGGTGCTGAGCACAAGAAACCAAACAATCTTTTCTCTGTCTACATTTTCCTGCACAAGAAGTTCAGCCTATTTCCTTTTATCATGACACATTTGCTTTTACCTGGTCACACAATAACTGTTGATATAAGTAACACACTATATTGTGTAGTATTTCAGCTTCATTAGAAAAAATATATAAAGCAAATGTTGCCTTTACAAAAACCTAGTGTAAAAAATGAAGCCAATTTCTATACACCAGCAATTAACCATCTAAAAAAGACATTAAGAAAACAATTCCATGTACAATAGCACCTAAAGGAATAAAATGTCTAGGAATTAATTTAACCAAGGAGGTAAAAGACTTGTACACTGAAAACTGTAAAGCATTTTTGAAGAAATTAAATAAGATCTAAATAAATAGATACACATCCATGTTCATGGATCAGCAGACTTAATGTTAAGATGTCAATATTACTAAAAGCGATCTACGGATTCAAGGCAATCCTTATCAAAATTCCAACAGTCTTTTTTGCAGAAATGCAAAAGCTTGTTCTTAAATTCATACTGAATTTCAAGGGACTCTAAATCACCAAAACATGCCAGAAAAAGAAAAAGTCAGAGGACTCACACCTCCTGATATCAAAACTTACTACACAGCTTACTACAAAGAATGAAGTTGGACCCCTATCTCACACCATACGTGAAAATCAGCTTAAAATGGATCAACAACCTAAATAACCAAAAAAAAAAAAAAAAAAAATATTGCCATTGAGTCAATTCCAACTCATAGCAACTCTACAGGACAGTGTAGAACTGCTCCATAGGGTTTCAGAGGAGCAGCTGGTAGATTCAAACTGCTGGCCTTTTTGGTTAGCAGCTGATCTCTTAAACGAAATATAAGAGACAAAAGTATAAAACTCTTAGAAGGAAACATAGGAATAAAGCTTCAGGACCTCGTATTTGGAAATGGATTCTTAGATATGACACCAAAAACATGATCATCAAAAGACAAAATAGACAAATTGGACTTCATCAAAATTCAGAATTTTTTGTGCATCAAAGGACTTTATCAAGAAAGTGAAAAGACTACCTATAGAATGGGAGAAAATATTCAGAAACCGTATCTCAGATAAGGGTTTAATATCCAGAATACAGAAAGACCTACAAAAAGACAACCAACCACCCAATTAAAAAATGGGCAAAAGGACTTGAATAGACATTTCTCCAAAGAAGATATACAAGTGGCCAATAAGCACATGAAAAGGTGCTCAACACCAGTAGTCATTAGGGAAATGCAAATTCAAACCCCAATGAGATACCACTTCCTACCCACCAGGATGGCTATTATCAAAAAAAAGAAAGAAAATTACAGGTGCTGGTGAGGATGCAGAGCAATTGGAACCCTTGTACTTAACTACTGAGGGTATAAAATGGTGTAGTTGCTATGGAAAACAGTTGGGCAGTTTCTCAAAAAGTTAAACAGAGCCTTCAGATGACCCAACAATTCCACTACTAGGTATATACCCAAAAGACTTGAAAGCAGGGACTCAAATAGATACTTGGACACCAGTGTTCATTGTAGCATTATCCGCAGTAGGCAACAGGTAGAAACAACCCAAGTATCCATCAACAGATGATTGGGTAAAGAAAATGTAATATATACATATAATGGAATATTATTTAGCCACAATGAGAAATGGAGTTCTGATATATGCTATGGC